TGTGCATAACTGGTATAATATATGTAAAATACATACGCAGGAATGCGTTAAGAATCAACTGGAGAATATCTGTGCATAAATTGCAGAGTGAAAAAGCTTCTAACAAATGCAATTGTATAGGTTAACTGCTATATTCATATGCAATTCTGTTTCCGCCCATCAAAAAATAAAAAATAAATAAATAAAATAAAAAAGCATTTGACTCTCGGCAGCACAAGCTAATACGCCCCAGTTGGTCGGCTTTTGTTGAAGCCGCATGTTCCATACAATACAAATATATTTTGAAATATTTTTTTTTTATTTTTATTTTGTTTATAAAATTTCAATGCTCTTGAGCCTTATGGTATGCTACAAATACACACATGCCGCCGCATGCATGCTACTCAAGTATTAGTAAATGTAAATATTTGCACACACACAGCACATACCGTTGCCGCATGCGCCTGTGTGGCAATTATATATGTATGCATGGTTGTTGACCTTAGTGCTTCGGTTGTTTGAGCGAAAAAGTCAAGTCTTTTGCAAACAAACTTTTGCCGAGTACGCAGTTAAATGCAGCGAATATTGGCATGAAATGAAATGCGAATTTTGTTGTCAGAAAAATATAAATAAATTGCGCATATTAAACAGCGCAGCAAATAAAAACAAAAAACAAAAAAAAAAACAGAAATGAAGACGGCAAAGATATGCAAACACAACTTTGCAGCTGCCAAATTTCACTGAATACACAAGTAAAAATGCATGCCAAAAAATGTTGCATACATTTGAGCGCGACGCACTATGGTAAAGGCGCTTCAAAGAGATCCAACATGCATTTGGCGTTTGTGTGCGCTTCCGCAGCACCAAAGTCGGCTGCCATCAGCTACTCACTCAGTTGGCTGCCCGCCTGTTGGCAGCTGTAATGCGCAACAAATACCAATGCAAATAAATATGATTACATGCATGATTATACACAAGCACAAACACATAAATGTGCATATAAGCCTTATTTATAGCAACAAACACACCTATAGACGCGAGTCTATATGCGTACACCAATGGCAACAGCTGTGCTTGAGTGGTTGCAAGTATTGACTTTGAGTTGGACATACACATATACCATATATATATATATATATATATATAGATATATTATAAATATACAAAGTGGCTGGAGCAAAGACAAGTGTATATGCAGGCTGATAGTCCTGATAGACAGCGAGTCTACCAACTCGTTTGCAATAACTAGTAAGCACATATACATAAATATATCTATATATAGCCACGATTTATATGTGTTAAGCAATTGCCGTTTGTTCGTGCGCACTTTGCTGTCAATACAGCCAATTTATGGCGAAGCTATAACATATATATTCGCACACACAATATATTTAAACGCTCACATATATGTAGGCATGTATTTGCATGCGGCTCAGTTGGTATTTGTGCTTGAAATTTTTTTAATATTTGTTGCTACACTGGCTCTGCGTGTGTACGTGTGTGTAAATAGGCTTATTGACGAATTATGTGGCAGTGTGCGCCTTTAAATATGCAATGTTGCATATGTACGAAGGAGCGCATAAAAATGTGAACTTAATTTAATTGATACTTGAGTTCGTATTTTTTTAATTGTTTGCAATCTTTGATAAGCGATCCTTGATTTAACTCAATTTAAGTTAACTTGAATATTAAATGTGCAAGCTTTCTGCAAGGTTTTGCATTATAACTGTATGTATAATGTATGACATTAAGTATGAACAAATATATTGTCAAGTATTGCTAGTACAGGCGAATTAAATGCTATAATCTCTCCCATTGCAGCCTTTTTAGGCATACAGTTTTTAGAATGTGATTGCTCGTATGAGAGCTTTTTGAGCTTTATTTATAATTAAAAAGTGTTTAAAGACTAATTTTATAATTTTATTGGCATTTAAACTGAGTGAAGATTTTTACAAAATATAACCATTTCTTATTTGTTGTTTTAAGAGCTTTTAGAAAGCTTTTTCGAAGCTTATTTGAACTTTTAACTTTTATTATTGAGCAGAGCAGCTGGTTTGAACTTAGTAAGGTGAATATAAATTGAATTTGGGCATTATCAATAGTTAATACTTGTACTACTCGGTACTCACAACACTCAGCTTTTGCGATACTTGCATGCTGTGCTTTTTGAAAGCTTTGATAGCTACGATAGAATTTTCTTTGAATAAAAAATCTTGTTTTCTAAGCTTTATCAAAAAAGTATTTTCGTTTTCAAGTTTTGAATTTCACTAGTAGTTTTCACTGCACTGTAGTTTTTGTACTGCACTGCAGTAAGCTTTAGTGCTTATTTTAAGTGCAAATTTTATATTTAAAAGATTTCCATTGTTTTAGCTAGCCTTACATGTTAAGACTCATAATTTTCAACAAAAAATTATGTGTGTCCGCCTAAAAGTATCCTTTTCATTTAAAACTAATACAACTAGGTAATAGAGACTTTAAAATTTTGAAACAAATTTTCAAGTAAATCGTAGCAAAAACTAAACTCACACTTGTTAATTGCTTTCTAACACCTAAAGTACGCCAACAGCAAATAAATAAAGGCGTGCAAATTTAATTAACAGCTCTATTTTGCAATTAATGAATATTTAAAATACAAAGCGACCTTTGAACTGAAAGCTCTCTCTCTCTTACCCTCTCTTTAACTCATACTTTTTAAAACGAATTGCTTGTAATAAATTTTTGTAAACTGTATGTTAAAGGCAAATGTAGTAGCATTTATTATTTATATTATCCGTACAGCAACAAAAACAGAGATACATATATTTTCATTATTTGTGTATGCAAAAAGTAAGTCAATTTAATTTAGATTAATGTGTTCGATAAGTTTTATCAACTTTCCTGCACTTACTGGCAATACACTTACAAATAAATCATAGTTGAGCACAAACTTCAATGACACGCCTTAATATAGCCTACCTCCCGTCATTTGCGCAATCATGTCGACTCATGTTTGTGTGTGTTTGCATGCATTTAGCTAATTAGCACTAAACATATCTGAACTAATTAATTCGCAACGAGGCGAAATGCAAAATTCCCTGCATACTTTCATAGCACGCATACAGTGCAAACACATACATACACATATACATGTATACACTTACAATATAGATGAGTTTGGTGTGCATTCTAATGAACGTAATGTGCGCGCACATATCGTTTGAACGGAGTCTATGTGTTTGCGAAATTCATTGAAGAGAAGTGCAACAAAATTCGATCGAAATGGCAATATTCCACATACACAACAACACACGCATAAACACACAAACAGACGCAACAAACAAAAAAAAAAGCAAGCAAAAACACAGTTGTAAAATCAGTCAATCGAAGTAAGCAACATGCAAAAGGTAGTGACGCCTAACACTATGCAACGCCCATAAACACTCCGCTTGCGGGCCGCGTGCGCGTGTCGATGGCGTTGAAAATTCGAGCATACGGTTCAGTATCAATTTCGATTACCATGGCTGTGCGTTTGGCTGCGGTCAACATACCAGTCAGAAATGCATAAATGCCTGAATGTATGCTTCGGCATGAGTACAATTTCGTAGTTTGCTGTTTTGTTGTGAAAATCAATATTTATAACTGCTTTGCACTGCAATGTGTTCGAAAATGTATTTTTGTATAAGTTATCTGTGTGCAAATAAGAGCTATTTCATAGTTTTCTCTACCATTTTCCTAGAAAGAACTTAAAACTGACGATGCCGCAATTTTGCTGAAAAACCTAAATATTAGCAGATTTTGAACATGATTAGTTCTGCTGCATTCGCCTAACGTTTTCATTTTTTCATTCAGATATGCATTTACTAATGGAAAGAGCAGCTGAATTGCGTTTAGTTGTGTAAAGATTAGTTGAAATTAGCATGTACTGCACAGCAGTGTTTTTAAGTTACGTTAAACTTGCGCTGAATATGATTTATGTGTGCTGAATTGTGTGGAATGTGTTTATATGTATACGTGATATTTTTTAAGTTCAAGTAAGCTCTCGCTGAATATAACTGAAATGTGCTGAATCGCGCTGAATTGCGCTGAATTGATATGCCATAATTTTTAATTAAAAAATTTTGAGTTACTGTATTAAACAAACATTGAAACATAAATTAATGAGCTAAATTAACAAGTTTTGAGTATAGAATATAAGCTGAATGTAAAATATTTAGCTAAAGAGTAATCGACGCATACTTCAAAAATTATTTGCTTTGCTATATGTGTGTGCTGAATTCTGCTGAATAGCGCAACAAAGTGCTGTACTGAAATAATTTGATTTGCTACACATTTTAATATTAATAATTGTATAAATTTCAGAAAACGCAGAATAAATTAGTATTATGCTAATTATGACTACATAATATGACATATTGAAGACACGCTTACTTTTTCTAAAATGCTATATAATTAGAAAATGTCTTTCTTTTTATTTCCTCTTCAATTTTTGTTGACAACTTTCCTAATGAATTTTACTTTTGCACTTTATATTTTCCTAAGTTTCTTATATTTCCAATTAATTTGGCCTTACACAACTTTCATTTTTCCCAAGAACTTTCTACTTAATTTAAAAAATTTTCACTCCAACTATCAAATTACAATTTCCGCTAGCTATGGCCTAATCGCATTCCAACAACAACTTTTTCTTTTGCTTAATTTCTTCTTTTACATTTACTACTGCTTTTTCTTCTATCTTGGCGCTTCCATTATAGGTTTTACACTCGCAATATCCTTAGCTGGGCATTCAATTAAATATTTCAATTAACACTTTTAATTAACATTCGCATCACCTACTTCATTGCTATATATCTACAAGTACATAAAGACACACACATACAGAGGGGCAGACACAAACAGACAGACCAATATTGAGAAGCAGTTTATAAAAGAAAACTCATAAAGTAATCGAATAATTGCCGCAACAACAAGTGTTGCATAGTTTCGAGCGCAAAGGCAGCATATTCTACAACTAACTAAATGCTCTTGTACATGTGGGTACTTACTTAAATTTCCACTCGGAATGTAGACGTTGCCCGATGGTGTTCGCACCAAACACGATGGCTCAAAATCAACGCCCAAATCATTTGGGTTACCAGGGACTAAACGACCATTATTCATGCGACTCATTGTTGGATTCCTTGGTGGGACATCCGGTGGTGCCGATGGCGTAACTCCTTCAAGGAGATAGCCTGTAAGTATGCAATGAAAAGAAAAAAGAAGACAAAGTAAGAAAATTGAAATGAAATGAAATGAAGTTGGATATAAAGCAAAGGCGACTAACAACTTTCTGAATTAAGACAAAAATTAAAGGAAAAAAAGAAACGCAAAACGAAAGAAAGGAATGAGAACTTAAAAGAAAAATGCAATGCAATTAAAATGTGAATACCAATGCGGCTCAAATAGAGCCGATCGCTGTGAGAAGCGAAATTGTCAGTGTATTGCCGAGGGAGTACGGAAAACGGAAATTGCAGCTGGTAATATAAAAGTAAGTACAAAGTATAAAAGCAAGTGGCGGAGCGCCAACAACAAAAGCGCAAGTTTTGTAGGAAAAAGAGGCGGCGGTATGGCGTAAACAAAGCGAAAATTGCACGAATAAAAACAAAACACAAAAACGCAAAGTTAAACGCCGTTGAGGCGGTAAAGTTTAATTAAAAATTTTAAATAGTTGGCAAGGTGGCGCCAAGTCCGCACAAGACAGCGGTGAGCGGCAGTGGCGCAAGTAGAAAATACCGCAAGTATTATAAGCCAGCTACAACGACTAACGCTAGTTTGTATGCTGGCGTGCATATGATGGTGGCATATGCGTCATATATTATACAGAGGCGTAGCGACTGCGCCAACTTGCAGTGGAGGTAAATGGCATCTTAATTACTTAATAATTATGCAGTTTTGCGTCGCTAATGGCCGCGATAACACATTGTTATGACCCAGAAAGAACTTTTTGCGTCGAAATATAAATTTATAAATAGTCATACAATATTATTTGTGCAAACGAAACGCAAGAACAGCTAGCGCAAGGCAGTGAAGATGTCATACATGTAGATAGTCGTAGCAGCAAAACCCTTAAAATAGCGCGCTGAAGATATTGTACGGTATGAAACGAACTTTCACAACACGGCGCGCAGCTAAGTCATTTACCCCAAACAGTAGCAGTTAATAATAATTATTTCAGCAAGCAATTTACACATTTGCTCAGCACATGCACTTGACTAGGCGCTTATTATTGCTTGCATATCAGCTTAGTACCCCAGCACGCCATAAAGTATGCAATATATGTGCATAAGTATTTCTTTGACACATTTGCGCCCAACAATGTGCAATGGCTTTCGTGATTGCAGTTATTTTGCGGTAATACTAGCAATTATAAATGAATTTCCGCATAGGGGGGGAGGGAAGCGCGCTCTCTCGCGATAAAATGCCATTGCTGTAAATTGAGAAAGCTGACAGCAGGTTCTTTAGGTAGAAAGAGTAGGTATGAAAAACGAAAGAAAATATATAAGTTAGTGTGGCACGAAGCCAAATGTCGTGCAATGACCTTTATTTAAAGATTGATTGACATGAAGTGGCGGATTGCACACGTGGTTTAATTGTTTGCTTTAATATGTAGACACATTAAGCTGTCTGGCGACGGCTGAATTATGATGTTGGCTTAAGACGGTACAATTATATTGCTTATAGCTGCAAAATTGTAAAAATATATAAATATTTCGAAATTTTTTTTAATTATTGCAGCTATAATAACACTAGTTTACAGTCATTTTGCGACTGTGATGTTAGAGGCTGTTTCTTGCTAATTATGGATGGCTAAAACCGAAAATGATAGTAAAAATTGCTTAATACGTAGGAGTTTTTGTGTTGTAGTTAATAGATGTAGACTTCAGACCACAACCATTTACTAAAATGACAAAAATAGCTGTACGTAATGAAAAATTTTAAACTCAAATTCGTAATCAGGACACCTCAAATACCCCCACAGCACTCTTAGCACAACAGTCGAAAATTTCGCTCAGATTTGTATTTGTGTGCGTGAAATTATTTTTATGTTTACAGATAATTTCAGGCGCACGAGATTGTAAATGTACTAATGATTTCTATTCAGAAAACAGATCTAAATATGCCCTATTTTCCCTCGCTGTCATTTACTGACCTCCAATTATTCTTCCAACTCTTCTAAATAATATTTAATGAAACTGTAGTGGCAGAAAATTGATGTATGCATTTTTGTCTTTAAAACACCCACCACCTTACACCTCACCTCTTTTTACACACATATTTCTGCTTTTTCAGGAAATCCTATGCAATAAAAGGGGCATGCCAACGCTAGTTTCATCGCCCCTTGCAGCTATTTGCCCCAGCTGTGAGTGCGCTTCTTAATGGATACACAACCGCATGCCATTCCAGCGCTGCGGCAGCTTCTAGCGCAACAACGGGGTGACCAAAAATGTCATTTCGTTTACGCGCAACACTATTACAATGCGGTCGCAGCTATTCTTATTAAAACTACCGCTGCCACTGCTGCCGCGAGGACGTTTGCCGTTGTTATTGCTTTATAGTGTCCACACTGTGGTGCCCTTCTGTCCTGCGGCTTTGCTTCCGAAATGAAGATAAGCAGCTTATCGCGCCAACATTTGGCTGCGCATGCGACCAACCGTCAGTTGCGGGTATTGTGCTAATGTTGCCGGGCCGTGCTGTGAGTATTAGTGCTTGTGTGTGTAAGGCAGTTAGTCGTGACGCTAGGATATTAAAGCGTAAAAGTGGCGCATTTGCTCGCTTGCTGCTGAGTTGGCTTTTGTATGTGTATTGCTTGTATTGGCTTCAGCTTTGCATCAGGGGCTTTGCATGCAGTTTTGTTGTGCTACATTTGTTGGCTGGTATGTAGTTTTCTTATACAGTACACTATTTAACTTTTTATTCTGTTGTTTGTTTGTTTTTTTCTTTACGGTTTTTATGTTTTTTTCTATTCCGCGTTGTGCTGATTTGGTTTTCATGTCGCGCTTGCTGCTCAAGCGCCACTTAACGTTCAGCGCTTTTACCACGCTTGTTATTATTATGACTATTTTCGCTACTTTGTTGCAGCTGAGTCAACTATGCGACGTGGATCTTGAATTCCTAGAAGTTGCTGAAAGTTTTTACTACTTAACAAAACTGTGAATTTCTAAACCGAATTGAATATAATTAGATTTTTATTATTTGGCCTTCAACATATCACTTTTTCTATTTGCTGGCTGAAGTTGCAAAAATTTTTTCCCAGCTGTTAGTGCAGACACATACCGATTGGCTTAGCGAAGGCAGATACCATTTTTTGCAAAAGTAGAAAATAAATTCCGCTTGTTGAGAAAAACTATCATTTTGAAGTATTTCGTTGCTTTTCAGCAATCAATTTCATTATTTATGCTTCAATAATGCCAATATATACAACATTGCACCCCAATATCGCAACAAATAGCCTAAATAAACGAGCTACTTATGTAAATGTCTGCAAATCGCATATGTAGAACAGTTTAAAGTTGTAATGTGAGCGAAAAGTATATACTACAATGAAAAGCTAACCCTACTGTTGTAAAATGGTCTTCAAAGCGGTTCTAGCTACTCAACTAATGTTCTATTGTAAGTAGAAACTAAAATTTTATTGCATATGCATGAAAATATACTTAGAAAATGGCACTTAATGCGCTCTAACCAAAGGGGATATAGTTTCACGCTTTATTATTACTTCAACCAAAGCTTGACCTACATTTAGGCGCATAATGTAATAATACAAATAAGGAGCACACAATTTCATTCAAGAAACTACACAACTCATCAGTTATTCCCAAGCAATTTGTTAGCACTGACCTTGGTTTCACTAATTTTCGCTTATAGCGCACATACTTTTAGGCATTGCAAATTGCAGGCAATCGTGCGCGAAATGCCTGCGCTACACTTTTAATGAATCAATTTAATTTCTATGCCGTGGGGAATTTCAACAACGCCAGCGTATTTATTATTACACAAAGGCAAGTTGTAGACTGATTGCACAAGGCACAAGAAAGCGAGAAGTATGTCCGAGTGTCGGTTGTGGTGTGCCACGCCAAAAATTATGTGATGAAGTTTCTTTACGTTCGTTTTCTGCTTGCTGTGTAAGTCAGTAGTCAGCGCTTGCCAAGAACTTGATCATGCTGAAGAAATTGGCATTGCTACAAACAGTTTGATAGTTGGAAAAAATTTTTTTTAGTACTTGGTATGTACCTGCGCCTAAACGTATGCAATGAAATAAATTAAGATGAGAAAAAATGTAGATTTCTTACGAAAAATATCATTACAGAAATTAGTATTGAACGCGAACAACTGAAATGGAAAATTGAAGAAAAAATGGAATTGTGAAGTGAGGTGTGAATGGTGGAGAACATTAAGGCTACAATTGCGCTCGGTATGGAAATCGGCCTAGCTCAGTTGGGCGCAAAATTAAAGATAGCCATTGAGGGAAACATAGTTCGGTTTTCATGAAACTGAAACTCGAGAATTTAATATTGCTGTAGTAGTACAAAAGTATGGGGCAATTCAATTCAAATGCATATTTTAACAACTCTATTTGATATTCAAATGCCTACGCGGTATGGCGCGCCGACAGAGCCAAAATTCAATGTTTGCAAGCAGCCAAAAAGACATATTCGTGGCATGAGAAATCATTTTCATGGTAAAATATACGCGTTCTATTGAAATTGTTGGAAGAAATTAAGAAAAAGCAAAAGCTGAAGAAAAAATGTCGAGCAAGCAAATTTGTTGGCTCAAATTACAATCAGTGTGAAATAATTTTGCAGGCCATATCAAAATAAAAAAAAGAAAGAAGAAAATAAAAGGCCAAGCGAAAATAAAATAACATAAACGAACAAAACCCCAAATGACGAAGAATACTCCGGATAATAAATTGGGCGAGCATTCGCATAGAAAATTGTAAGCTCATTTATGAGCTTAAATATTTCCTGCCTATGCTGCTGACGCAATAACTTCTCTCATTCACACAAAATGTAAAAATTAGAAAAAAAATTTTGAATTCAAACGCCAAAGGCGCGGTACATATCATCTGTTCGTTGAGGCGCACTACGCAACGGTGAGGAGAAAGTGAGATTACTGACTGAAGCGGAAGCGTAATGAAAGATGAGATTTCGCTTTGACGACAAGGACGGCGTTGGCGCCCGCGCGCATAATG